ATTCTTCAACAACACAGTCCATCCTTGATACCAGAACTCCCCATTGCAGTCAAAGAAGGAGAAGTCTCTTATATCCCTTCTCATCTGAACATGACTAATCTAATCCTTGAAGCACAGCAAAGAAATCCGGAGAACTCAGCGCAGCACCTATCCAGCTCAGGATTGGATGGAACAGAGGCTATAGGAACTGTTGCTGCTCACTTCTCAGATGATAACCAAACAGAGGAGAGACGCAACAATATAAGGCGCATCAAAGAACTTTGTGGCAACATGCAAGGTATCAGTGAGGCTGCCGGATCTTCAAAACGCAAAAGGAGCTGAAGGTTCTTTTCATCAAACCAGGGGGAAAGTATGTGAAAATACTAATTTGCTTTGATGAAAACACCTTCTTGTTTAAACATTTCTTGATTGGTTTAAACATTGCTTCAACAATTCTCTTATTTGTTCTTATTATGCTTAATTATGCTTATCTCAAGTATGATTTTGAGAAATTTTGAAGCGCATACATTCAGGGGGAAATTAACTAGTTTTGGCTAATAATTGTTTTTGGCTATGAATTATTGATGAGCTCTAAGCAATGGAAGACGGATATCTCAGTTTTGGTACCAAAATTGGAAATCTCCGATTCAGGTACTTTACAAAATCTGCCTTCTTAAACTAAGCTTTAATCCTTAATTCATTTCCAACTAGCTCTAAAAGTACTGGTCCTTAGGATGTTTATAATGTACAGGACTTTGGAAAAATAGTACCACTTTTCTTTTAAAAATAAAATTCATATTTGTTTTGGTTCTACCTCGTCCTAAGTAGAAATTAGAACTATAGGGAATGAAAAATGATAGTTTTATTTTGGGCCTTGAGAACCCAATAGGAATAATTTCCCTTTAGTACATAGCCTTCTTTTCTTTTTGGGCCACTCTTTTGGGCTTAGCCAAAACAAAAACAGTTACGTTTCTCAAACCAAACGAAACTGATTTTCTAATTGGGACAGTTTCAATTTCTTGGAAATCGGTAAAAGATTCCTTCCACTTTTCAACTTCTTGGAAGTTGAAACTCCTTTACTCTCACCGTTCCAACTACTCATTTAATGGAACCCGTGAACCTCCTCCTCCCCTATTTAAATCAAGACATTCCAATCCATTTCCATCACAAACAATTCTTTCAACATGAAAAGTCTTCAATTCACTATCTGAGAAAAACACCAAGAAAATTATCCTCAATGGAGAAATTTCTCTTTCTCACCCTCATAGACGGCAATAGAGAAAAGCCTAGTGAGAAGAAAAATAATCTAAAGTTTATGGTGCAATTCTTGGCAGTAGAGAAAGTTTATGGTGTAATTCTCGTATTTTTCAGGATTATACCATACACTTTCTCTGGAACAACACTCTCTCCATTTTCGTCTCATCTTTTTTTTTCTTTTTTTTCTTTTTTGTTCTTCAAATTTTAATTTTTGAGCAGTCGCTGCACTCTTCTTACAAGCATTTTTTTTAAAATTTTTGTGCAGTCTCTGCTTCCTTCTCCCAATTTTTTTTTTTAAAAAATTTTTTTTCCCTAATTATCCTTTAAATTCTTTTTCAAAATTTTTATTTTTCCCTTCATCTTTGAAAACCTTATTTTATCTTTTTCACAATCAATTCTCTTTACCAAAACTTTTTCTTGTCTTTCTATTTTTTTTGTTTTTTTCTTTCGTTTTTTTTCTTGTTGAGAGATGTGTTGCTTCCAAGATCTTGAATATCCACTTTGGATATTAAAGATCTATCAAATGCAACGCCAACCGCTTTGCCAAGCAAGTTCTGCTGAAGCTGAAAACGGTCAATGGCGGAAGAAATATCACAAAATCTCAAGACAAGACTTGGTTTAGGAATTATTGTAATTTGAATTGTATTTGTTTAAGAGTTTTTGTTAACAAGCTGTATATTATGAGAAACTAAAAGAAAGTTATAAAATTAGTTCTCAGTACAGCGACCGGAACTCTTAAACACTTGTTTGTCATCATCAAAAAGGGGGAAATTGTTGGGAAAATATTATAGATTTTGATGATGATGTATTTAGAATGTAATAGAGACTTAAGGTCTCCCCCAATATTCAATGTAATTTTTCTTTTTAGAAATATTGTCAAAACCGAGTTCTTGAGATTTCCAATAAAGTTGTGATATTTCTTTAAGCGTTTTGATGCCTGAAGACAGTGATATGGAAATTGGATATCTTGATCAGAAATGTCAGAGACAAGTAAGGATTTCTCAAAGCAGATGTAAATCCTCAAATCCGGAAAACTATATGAGAACCGGATGTCTCGCTACAATCCGCTGAAGGTAAAGTCACCCAAGCCGGAAGACTAGCGCGAA